TGTGACACTGTCTGGAGAAGTAGAGAAATGAGAAATTGCCTGGCAGCCCTCATCTTGAGAGCTGACCAGTTTGTCTTCATAGCACACCAGTAAGCACTGACAAAATGCTTCTTTGCTGTTACACCCCATCTAGATGCTGAAATGAGACTACACTAACCAAACATTAATAGTTTATAGATGAAACAGGAGTTCTCTGGTAAATGTGTACCATTCATCTGAAGCTGCTGTGGTATAATTGTGAGGATGTCCTTTGTTTCAAAAGCATCTGTGTGGAGGACTGTGTGGCATGTGAGGAACCACTGCAGCCTGTCATGGGTAAAGTAAGTGGTTTGGATTTTTGTCTGTGTACTGAGCTGGTTTTCACATCAATAATTTGACTAAGGAATGGGGTTGCAACTAACAATGTCATTGTCGATTAATCTGAAGATGATTTTGTCGATTCATTTATTAGAAAAAAATGTCTTAGGTGATGTTTGACTATATTGCTTGTTCTGTCCAATCAATAATCAAAAAATATTCAGTTAACTGGAAACAAGGAACGTTTGACATTCTAACTTTTTTGTGTCAAGACTAATCAGTTACTTGATTAATTGTTTAAACATTTAGTAATTGGTATGATAACATGTGTGCATAGGAGACCATGCAGGAGCAGGAAAGCCCAGCATAAGAAAGGATGCTAAATGGTTCTTTGAACAGAAATTAATACGATTAATACGACAACTTTAAACTTAAGTGTTGACATTTTCAGAGAAGTGAAACTTAGAGTACCAAATAAAGAAGAGCAGCCACTGAAACACACAGTGCTTACACATTACTGCACCCAGCAGGTATACTTTATGTGCATCAACAGTGGTTATTCCCTTACATAGTTGTATCTCTGGGTTGTTTAGCCCATATACCCTCAAATGAAAATCAAAATGTCAGCACTTCAGTAGAGTGATATGGTGAGTTGGTCTCATAAAACACAGATACACCTGTAAATTTTGGGATATTTTGTGTGTTGTCCCTAAACCTTCATTCCTGGCTTCACAGTTAATATTTATTAACATACATAAATTCATAATTTGTGTTGTCCTAGTTTTTGAGGCCTTGATTTTGAGTTCACATTAGTCAGCATACATTTGCATTTTGCAAAATAAAACCCACATCGGTAGACTGATTAAATATTGTATAACATCCTGAAATGCTTTTGAATGTCTTTTGGATGTGAATCTATAGTTCGAAATATTGGGAAATACGCTTCATGTTCTTAAAATATATATGAATACTTTGGGAAATTGTTTTTCTGGTGGAGAGTTAGTTGATAAATCAAATACCTTTTTCATATCTGCCCATTAATTACAAAAAGGCAGCCAGTTAGCTTAGCTAAAAGACTGAAAACAGGGCAAAACAGCGGGTCTAGCTCAGCCCAAGCACGAATGGGCAGTATTTACGATACATGTATTTAAAATAGAAATTAGGATTTTTGTGATTTTTATTTGATATGGTTCATGGAAATGTCTTAATATTTTTATAATAAAATACTTTAGTCTTTTGTATTTTTTTTAATTTAAAAATACTGTAAAATACTTTGTCGGAAGTCTAGGTGATGACATCATTAAAATACTGCCTCTGATTGGTTGATTAGTTGAGATCAGAACAGAAACTTGATCGCCTGTTACGTTTCGGTGTTCGTTTCAGTAGCCTAGGCTAAGTCATTTACCAATTTAGGAAATGGTCTTGCTAACTATTTGACCCCAGTAGCAGTCCTCACAGTTAACACTAGCTTTCTACTTTCAGCCTATGTTACATTTTCATGGGTTGTGTACAACTAAAATAATAAAGCGTTTGAGTTGTTGTACAAAATTACTTTATAAAGTACTTTAGATTATATATATCTGATCTGGTAAGTGGTTGCACATGTCAGCTTTATCACGACTCATTAAGCAGAGAAAAGCTGTTGCATTGTCCCTTTAATAGATCCTATAGGCCAATAGTGACTTCATGGTACCTTGGAAAAGTATTTTTTTTTTGAAATACAAAAATACAATTGTTTATTGGGAAACCTTGCGTGGCTGCTGTATTTTATAGTTTATTTTGATGCACTTAAAATTAGGGGATTTGTTATCTTATTTTAAAACACATTTTGATGTGTCTTTTCCCATTCCAAGTCCAAGGGTAATGAATTCCACATACCACAACCTATAATGCTAGCTAATTAGTTCAACCTCTACAAAACCCAAGTATAAAAACAAAAAAGATTCAGGGGGGTCTGGGTGGACTATTTCAGATGTTCTGTATTGGGCAGATTTTGTTACCTTCAAAATGAACCTTTATAAGCTAAGCAAAACTTAGACCGGCTGCTGGCTATAGCTTCACATGTACCGTACAGACACCAAGGTCTTCTCATCTAAGTCTCTGCCAGAAAGCTAATAAGCTAATTTCCCAAAACTATTTTAAAGGTGGGGTAAGTGATTCTGGAGAAATACAATACAATGACAAATACACAGTGATACAGAGCAAACAAGGACACTGCAAGTACTATAACGTTAGCTAGGTTGTGGGTTAGCAGACTGTTGCTACAGTTGCTGCTGCGAAACTAACATGGAGATGACGAGACCGTCCCACAGCCAGCACACCAGCTCCAGACAGTGATACAACTCTCCTGCTACTGTAGCTAACATCACAACAACAGCATGTGTTGGTGAACTAGAAAATAAGATGAATGTCTGTGGGCAAGTAATTTAATGTTACCTGATACACAAATAATGGCTGGAACGGCTAGTATAGTGTTGGGTCGTGTGGTCCGAGCCACCATGTTTGTTTCCCATTTTACAGAGCCAGAGCTGTGTACAAACACCTGATTTTTTGCAGCGCGCACACAGAATGGACAGCTAGCAGCCTGTGAGGAGATATTTGCATAATTTGACAGACGTGTATTGGATTAGAATCACGTACCTCACCTTTAAACCAATTTTGCAGCTACAACACTTCACTTACACATTTATTTAGCAGTCACTGCACATACATAATGATAACCTGGAGACTTCCCTAAACTTGGATTACTTCAAACCTGAACACTCATTTTTCTGAAATTGCAGTAAACCTGTAATAAATGGGAAAACCTGCAGTTCTCTTTAGCAGTCTTAACAATAAAAGATGTGAACTAGTGAATGCACTTCCTCTTTTGGTACCAGATAATGCATGTTTTCTCAGCATTAGACTGATTATATATATATATGACTTTATTTCACCTCCGAGCTACAGAGCCGTGCGGTAAGACTTATTCCCAACCTGCAAATCCTCCTTAGGAGACCATGACTTTGGGCTTCCAAATTTCACCCACTCCATTACTCCCTGTTGGCTTACATTTTTCCACAACAGACCATTGAACCATATTATTTACCTACAGGTTGATTGGTGAACTATAGAAATGTTTATTTGTACTGCATCAGTTACTCTTCAGTGACCTTCTAACCATATTCGCTCCCCCTTAAGATGTTATATTTAGCTCCTCACCAATAAAATGTAAATAGTAGCATATTAATATTAACTGGCAGAATTGTTAGGGTTTACAGAGCTGTTCCACAAGCCTGAAGGGCTTGTGGAACAGCTAGTTGAAACAACAACTCGCTCTCTGAGTAGGAAGAGGCTATTTCTATTTCACACATTTTGTGTTCCCTTTCACATGTCTAGACATTTCAACCGCACACCATTTTAAAATTCACCACATAGCACGTATAGCCTTTTGTGTTTTCCTTCGACTGCACACAGGGGATGCTGCATTTATGCATGAGTACACAAGGGCAGGTGTGAAAGGCGCCATTGTGTTAAGTTAAATCTCAGGCTTTCACACCAGGGAGAAGCCCCACACAAGTTTTATGGCTCACTGAGGACGTCCAAGAGGAAATGAATCTAGTTATGTAAGCTGTTGCCAAGCTGTATGCACTGTGGGTCATTTAAATTCTAGCTGAAGTGAGAAGTAATGTGAAGCTGTGCTCTGTCTAATGTTTCCTTTCACAGTCTAATGATAGCGAAGCTTGTCTGGATCTGGGGCATAAAAATAATCACTTATTCACTGTTATGCTTGAATAAAACATTGCTGTTAGACTTGGACTTATGCTCACACCATCTCTTCTGTGATATGGAAAGGGTACACCCTCTACATACAGTATAACCTACAAGGGATATTGTGCAAAACAGAACTGTGTTTCTGATCATATCTGTTGAGAATGTCCCTATAATCCCCGCTGTATCGACTAAGGTTGGCGCAGAAAGAGACAGAAGAACTGACATTTATCGACATGTACAGGACAATCTGACCTGAGTTTTTCCCTGAGACACGGGAGCACTTTATGGACAGCAAAACATCAAGGGACGGCTTAACTGATGGCTGTAGACAAACAAGCGAGAGCAGTTTGGGACTGTACCTCAAGCAGAGGACAATCACGGGACTCTTGTATAACCTTCATGTGCACTCTATCTCCACACTGTGTTGCTGTCAGTTGTCTTGCTGGCTATATTTACATGCTCTCTGTACCTGAGAAATATGAGATGTAGCTCATTTGTCAATATGTGGCACCTGTTGCTTCTAGATGCAACTTGCCGCCTGGTTCTGCCTACCATGGTTTGCATGTCAACATGTTAATAAAAATCGTCAAATAATGAGCCACTCAGATGTGTTCATTTTGCTTCCAGAAGCCATCAAAGGAAGTTTGCATTCTTTGGGATTAACTGAAATACATTAGTTAGATTGCAATCAAACACACATTGACTTGGGGACTTCTTATGAGCCTTTTTTGACTCACTTGGAACTCAAACTGTTGTACGTTATAAATTGGATTAAACTTTATGGAGACACTTTCAGGCTCATTGTATTTATAAATCTGTGTCTACACAAACATTCAGCATTGCCCAAGTTTACATCATGTCATAATGATGAAATGTACAGTTAATCTAAAGCTCAGCCAATAAAATCATGCCAGTGTGCATCAGTGTGCACAAAAATCACAAGACGCACCTCCAGTTTTTCTTGAAGTCAGTTTAAATAGTCTTAAAATTATTTCTTTATTAACTTTTTCAGGTATTTCACCCAGAACAATCATTACAAAACCAACTTCTAAAGTTGAACACGTGGATGCTGGTAAACTTCGTACCCCATCTCAACACATTCTTAACCAGAGGGGTGTCGCAGCATTTTACAGTATTTTAGACAAAAACTAAAAACAGTTAAGAATGGAGCACAATATCATTCAGTACCGTCTGTTGTGTTTGTGAGAACCTGCTTAAAAAGTTCACTGGAAGAGGACAGAGGCAGCTCTCCAAGACACGTCTGTGGGATATTAGAAAATGTCACACCAATGCGAGTGTTTTGTCAGTGGGGCGCCGCAGCTGTGTGGATTCCTGAGGGGCCGGGGGAGGAACAATAGTTCCTCTGTTAGGCCTCTTTTCCAGAAAATACTGTAGTTTCTTCTTTCAAAGCATCTAGATTGGCATTGTTAGTGAGCCAACTGCTGTTAAATGCCAGTAATGCTCAAAATTACTGCCTCACTTACTCATAGGCTGGACGGATAAGTCACGCAGGTGAGAGCGAACCCGACGCTGCCCCCCGTGGATTCTGGCACTCATCTCCCAAGAAGGACCCATCTCTGGCTTTTTATGGTCCTCGCCTGCAGGGGATTTGCGAGGGGGATTAGTGCTACTAAAAAGGACAGAAGGATAGAAGCAGGCCAGAGTAACGGCAGCACACACCAGCCTCATCTCTGTCTTCTTGATTGTTTCCTCTTCCACATTTTCTCTTTCCGCTGGTGTTAAACAGGTAACACTGTAAAAATAAGCGGCTGCCTCCCCGTTTCAAATGAATCTGTCTGTGATTGGCTGTTCTTTCCACTTGGGATTTTCTCCAGTTCACTGACCCGATTCAGCAGAAGGAAAACAACCCAGTAGTGCTGCTTGCGAGCTCTCGGCAGACCACATTCCAGCTGCTTGTTTTGTTATTCCACCTTTTGCCCTCAGCCTTGAATATCAGGCCCCTGGAAGAGAAAAAGAAAATCAGCTGAGGATAAAAATGAAACCGTTAAATCATTGGCACAGCACGGTGAGACATTTACAGAGCATAAGTATCACATGCATTTTCAATAAAATTGGCCTCCATCAATAGCTCTATCGGTGCTAGAGTCAGGGTGGAGGCGGTGAGATAAGGAGCACCCGCTGCCTCCACCCTGTTTCTGCTCCATGCGGACGGCCTGCAGGCAGCCGAGCTCTAAAGGGTCTGCTTGTGAGAGCTGGTGGTGACAGGCTGGTAGGTAACCCTGGGAGCTCTATCCTGGCACGGACAGCCGCACACAATGATCCCCTTCTTGACCGTGGAGTCTGAGGCCCACTGACTCGCTGCCAGCCCCCCGCTATCCATGAGAGGACCCCGCATTGCCAAGGACAAAACAATGAGGCCTCTATCAAACAGCAGATCACTCATTAAGGAGGGAGAAACATTTCTGTGACTGTCTTGCTGCACAAAATCTGTTACAGTGGTGTCACTGTTGCTCAAATGGCAATGCTGGAAAGCCTGCATTCATCACAGAACAAAATCGAACACGTGATTTGTTACACAGCAGCAACACTGTGACATATTAAGAGATTGTGAGTATCCAGCAGAGCACTTATCTACAACACAGGAGCAGAGTTTATTATTATCTGAGCAGCATGGTTAAAAGACAGTGTAAGGTGGGACTGTAAGGAGAACATTTAAAAACTATCACAATCAACAGGTGGATTTCATTGAAGACTGCTTACTTTGAAAGAAAAATCATATTCATTCAAATAAAACGAAAGGCCCCTCTTCCAGACATGTTTTTGTGACGTATAAAGATGCTTAAAATTCCAGCATATGTGCACTGGGGGCTTCACATTTCCACGTCACACTTGTGTAAAATTGCATGCTGGAACACATCGTGTTGTCATAACACCATGCTGCTTCTATGCGCCCCAAATCAAACCGTGCATAGGCCTGCTGCGTCAAATGAATAAAAATGTGTTACTCTACTGATCCCCATACGGACGCTCTGTTTTTAACTCAGAGGGAGGTCAAAGGTCAGGGATCAGCCACAGAGCACAGCAGCCGACTTGGAACCTGAAGGGTGGTTTCTGTTTAACCACCAACTTCCTGTTCAGAGGCAAAGGTTTAGAAACATGATGAGACTCTTGACACTCTTCTGTCAAAACAGACTCTTGAATTGAACCCCTTTGTGTGATCTCAACATACCTTAACCAATCTATTCCCGGTGGCACATCCTCATGTGGTTTTGTCCTTGCTGTTTTTCTCATACCCCAGATGCCTCATGACTTCGCTGCAATAGGCCTCCACCTGATTCACCTGCTCTACATTGAGTCGCTCCCTCCAGGCATAGATAGCCTCTTTTGCATCCCTAGATGAGATCAAGAACGGCTTGTCTGATGAATACCCCTGACCGTGTGTCATGTTCAGCGCAAACCTCTCCAGGGCAGGGAAGGTGGAGAGGTTGGCGAAGCGGTAGAGCCTCTGAAGCTCCTGCATGGGTTGCAGGACCAGGTCCTCGTAGCGGGTGTGGACGTAGTTCCTCCTCAACCAGGGAGGCGCGTTCATCACCAGCATCATGTCACTGAGCCAGTTGTCACAGATGAGCTCCATCGCGCTGGAGACGTAACTCTCAGCCCGGTTCACCCTGTTGCTCGGCACCAGCAGCCGCTTGTACTTGTCGGTCTGCTTCTTACTCCTCAGCACCTGGATGCTCTCCTTCACCAGGGCCTGTTTGGACTTCAGGCGGGAGTTGTGCACGGCCCTCGGGTCTCTGAAGAGCTGAATGATCTGGAGGTTGATCGCGGGGTCTTTCATCAGAGGAACCAGCGTGCTCATGTCCAAAACACGGACTCCTTTGATCACCATCACCGGGTATTTTTTACACTCCTTCTCCAGCTCCCTAATGTCCCGCTTCTGGCACTTTGCGCACTGGTCCTCCTTCACCAGTCCTATTTCGTGTCGCTTGTGCGCATCACACAGCGGCTCCGAACATATGACCTTGTTCATTTTCCAGCCGAATATGAACGAAGTGCTGATGTTTTGCGAGCCGGCATAAAGTTTGAGGACAGAGAAGTCGCAGCGGTACAGGGCGTTCATCATGTCACGCACTGCGCCCTGGAGACTGCCCGCATCCCCCGGGTACAGAGCCTGCCATATGTGCCACATTGGCTCGTACAGGTAAAAAACATCGGGGTGCTGGTTGAACAGCTCCCCCAAAAACGAGGAGCCAGTCCTCCAGGTGGCGTGCAGGTAGATGTGTATCCGAGTCTGACTCCGGTTGACTGCGTGCTCAGTCGCCTCGCTGCCGTTTTGTTTGTAACCGTTATCCCAGAGAAGGGCCACCGTGTTCTCCAAATCTGGGCATCTGGCTTGTTGCTGCGGCAGTCCCTGTCTGGCGCGTTGAAGAGATTTATCCCGGTAATCTAACACGTACGGGATTAGCAGAAGTAGACCTGAATATGCCAGGATCAAAATCAAGTATTTCTTATGTAGCCTCCTCTTCATTTCCTTACGCCGGGAAGGGGGGGCTGGCTAGCTTCTTCAATGGGGGGTCTGCACAGCGTTTTGTGAGCACCGCGGTCTCTACAGTAAAGTTATGTGTGTGCCAGAGGAAGGAGCATGTGTGTTTGTGAGGAGGGGGGGAGTTAACCACGCCCTATTAAAGACACAATCCCAGATTATTTATTCTTCCTGTTCACACATACGCTGTCGGTGTATGTGTATGTGTAAAATGTGTATTTTGTATTTATTTCTTCAAGAAACAGCCATACAAATACTTAGGGTACCGAGCTAACCGGAAGGAGAACGGTTAAATTGGAACTCTCAGAGAGCCTTGAAGAGAAGAGATTCCAACGGCTACCAACTGCCGTAACGCAGAGCCGTTAGTAACTTAATAAGCGTACAATGCATTATGGGAGATTAGTGAAAAATTAGTGTTCCCTTTGAATAAGAGTATTTAGTCGGTGTTTTATTTTTATTACAAGATGTTGAACGTGTTCTCAGCCCAAGTTGTCAGTTTAAAAAGAAAATTAAATGTTTCAATTTGTTTACTTTTATTTGGATGTCGCGCATGCGTACTTCCTGTCGTTTGTTGTTGGAGGCAAACGCAGCGCGGTGCTGAGAGGATCAATGGAGCAATAAATGGCAATACCTCGTTAACATTTTCATGAGCGTGCTAGCACTCTAACTTGCAGAATCACCAGGGCTATCAGCGAGCCTGACGGATTAACTTGCTGCATGTAGATGCTCGTAACGTCAAGCTAACCGCGGCACCACTTTCAACATCACCATGGCTCACTGGACCGCCTTCGAAAAGGAGACAGAGAGAGAAACGAAAAAGTTGATAAAATGTATCAGCGGGGTCGAGGACGAGGAGGACCAGAATTTTCAGCTGGCACTGAAGTTTGCCTGGTCGAATTTCAGGTGACCAAGCCCAATTGACTGGACTGGGAGCTAGCATGTCAGCTGCTAACATGTAAACAAACGTTAGCCACACACGGCGGTGCTTGGAACGTTAATGCTCTCATTTCTTGACAGGTTTCATCGTTTCTTGGACGTGGACAGCCATAAGGTCCAACGCAGTATAAGTGGGTGAGTGAGTCTGAGGTTAACGTTATTCCCACGGTTATTATTTTATACGGTCTAACGTTATGGTTATTATGCGTTAACTTAACATAGTTGCCAGATAGTTACCATGGTGGCCAGATTGATGTATGATAGATGCTCACATGATAAAAACGTAACGAGCTAATTTACCTGGTTTATGCTGAACAAGCCATTGTGTCAGATGAGTAATTTGCATCACTACGGTCAACATTTTGCATATAAACGTCCTATATTTAACATCTGCAATACTTCCTTCACCAGGAGCTTGACATAGTGTTTGTTTTCAATAGTATTGTAGGAGTGCAATAACTCTGCTTTTGAATAAAATATATTTCTGGATGCTCCATTTACAACCTTTTCCCAAACATTTATTGATCTGATTGATTTTGTCATCTTTTTTACATTTCCCCTTATATTACACTACGGGTGTACCTTGTCATGCATGCTGCTGTGTTTTACAGAATCTATGATAAACTCATGATCCACTCAGAATTGAGTAAAGCAGAAAGCTGGATGAGACTGAGTGAAGAGTTCCTGAACTCACCATTACCTAATACAGATGGAACAAAGGTAAGGCACAGACATGGGCTGACAGAAATTGTACTCATTAGTGGAGTAAGGGTCTAACACTACCCTGAAGACAAATCCCCAATAGATATGTATGTTTCTGTAGGTCAAAAACCACATGATCCTGACAATAGATGTTTACTGTTTTTTCTTATTTTACAGACTGATGCACACTACAGTATACTGTCGCTGCTGCTCTTCTTATCGGGGTCCCCCACAAATACAGATTTTACCGAGAGACCCAGGGTAAAGGAGGCCGGTGAGTTGATCCTTAGTTTCACTTGTGAAATTGATTTTAAAACGCTAACATGTCCACATTAATCCTTATTGCTCCATCTTCGGTCTTCAGAACATAAGGACAACTTTGACTGGGCAAAATATCTGATGGAGGGTGAGGACCTAGACACGGGACCATACCCAGATACCCCTGTGAGTAAATCATAACCAAACCCACCTTTTATGGACATGAATGACCACAAAACCTGCAGCAGAAAATTGATCGTTGGCCATGCGCACCATCAAAAATGTCTTTAGTAATTCTGGATGACACACTTCTTCTCAGGCTAAAGTTGAATAGAGTTATGCTGAGGTCACCAAACTTGATTTAACAGTCATAAAGCTGTAACAACAACCCGGTTTCGATGGATTTCTGTCTAAATTAGTCTTGTCTGGTTTTCAGGAATGGTCTGAGGAGGAGAGCGAAGACGATGACAGCCAGCAACCAATCAGCAGGGAAGACTCTGGGATCCAGTTGGATAGAACGCCCCAGGAAGACCAGGACAACGCTAACAAGACTGTTCCAGTTACATGGACAGGTGCGAACCTATCATGCAGCAAAATAACAGAATAATGGAAAGTAGATCATGGATGGATAGATACTTAGAATTAGAATAGAATAGATAGATAATAGATAGAACTTTATTGATCCCCAGGTGAAATTGCTGTGTAGCAGCAGCAAAATTGACACAGATTAAAAAAATTTACAGACCAGACATATTTACACAATAATGTACAAAAGTTCCTTTTACAGCGGAGTTGTAGGAGTATCCAGCTGAATACACTGTGCTGCCCGACCAGCAGGTTGTGCAGCGGATGTGAAGTGTTGTCCATGATGTTAAACAGTTAATGTAACATTCTTCTCTTCACAACCAAGTCCAGGGGCTTCAGAGCAGACCCGAGCACAGAGCCAGCCTTCTTTATTAGCTTGTTCAGTCTCTTCTCAGAGTCTGCTCTGGCCCTTCTTGAAGATGGCCTCAGTGTTGTATTTCCAGTCCAGTCTGTTGTCAAGGTGTACACCCAGGTATTTGAAGTTCTCCACCACCTCCACCTCCTCTCCCAGAAAGTGAATAGTGTTCAGTGTTGTTGTCCTGGACCTCCTGAAGGCCACCACCGTCTCCTTCTTCTTTGTCACATTTACGAGGAGGTGGTTGCTCCCATACCACAACAAAAAGCGGTCAACCATCTCCACCTCTGATACACCCAACAACTGCAAAATCATCTGAGTCTTTCTGTTGATGACAGGACTCTGAGTTGTGTTGGAAGTCCGAGGTGTACAGCGTGAAGAAAAATGGAGAGAGTACAGTCCCCTGTGGTGCTCCTGTTCTGCTGACCACCCATTCAGACCCACAACCCCTCATTTGCACAAACTGTGGTCAATAATCCAGGAAGTTGTGGAGCTGCTCCTTCCTGCAGCAATAAAGGCTGGATCGTGTTAAAAGCACTGGAGAAATTAAAGAACATGATCCTCACAATGCTGCCAGCTTTATCCAGGTTTGAGTGAGTGAGCTGAAGCAGGTAGATGATAGAATCCTCCACACCAACCTCAGGGCGGTAGGCAAACTGCAGTGGGTCAATGGAGGTGGTCACCTGACGTCTCAGATGTACCAGAATGTGGGCTAATGTGACCAATGCATGTACATGTGTGTCTACACTGAAGCTCTTCTTTAATAGGAAATTAACTCCAGTTTGTGTCTTTTGCAGTGGGCGAGCCTGACGCCCGAGCCTGGCTTGAACAGCACATAGTGACACCGTACTGGGTGGCTCATGCACCTCGTTTTCCTCACAGCTTGCATTTGCACTCTAACTTGCTCAATGTATGGTAAGACTCCAAACAGTTGTAAAGGGCTTTACTTTAGAATATACTATGGATGCATTTGTTCACTTTTTAATTTTTTCAAAAAAATATTTATTTTACTAAACTAAACTTAATAGCGTTATGGACATCAAGATGAGCTTTATACACCTGCTAATTAATTGATAAAACATACACATTTTTTCTCATAATATTATGACTTTATTGTTAAAAATAATGAATTACAGCTTTATCTCCTAAGTTTTCTTGTAAAATTACGACTTCATCTTCATAATACACTGCGTGCACAATTGATAGGCAAATTGTATTCCTCAGCTCCTCAACTTTCACTGAAGCAGTAACCACACTTGGATGAATGTGATAGATCATTGTCCTGCATAAAGATCATGGCCTTCTTGAATGCTGAGGACTTCTTCCTGTACCACTGCTTGAATGAATTATCGTCCAGAAACTGGCAGTAGGTTTGGGAGTTGAGTTTCAGTCCAGCTTCATCCCGAAAGGTCCGACTATCTCATCCTTGATGATAGCAGTCCATACCAATACCCCTCCTCCACCTTGCTGGCGCCTGAGTCGAAGTGGTGGTCCATCAGTAATCCAGCTACAGGCCCATCCATCTGGTCCATCAAGAGTCACTCTCATTTCATCTGTCCATAAAACCTGAAAAATCTGTCTTCAGGTATTTCTTTGTCCAATTTTTGACGCTTCAACTTGTGAATCGAATTCGGTAGCGGTCGTGTTCCAGTCTTCCTGACCGTGCCCATATCTCTAAATTCTTGGCACCTTGTACTTCTGGACACTCCAGGTAGGTTGGTTCCTGGTAGCTTCACGTTTAATTCTACTCGAGTCTTTTGCAGTTAACTCGCTCCTTTTCTTCTCCATGCACTTTTTGTGCCCCAGTTCACTATTCGCAACAAAACGTTTGATTGTCCGGTGGTCACGCCTCAAAGGTTTAGCTATTTCAAGAGTGTTTCATCCGTCTGAAAGGCATTTTAGGCCGTTTTTGTGTCAGTTAAATCTCTTTTTTTGGCCCATTTTACCAAAAGTAATGAAGCTGTCTAATAATCTTGCACACATTGATATGGTGTGTATGGTTGTAAGGTGTGATTCACTTTCACCACACCCTCTCTCATTACACAAATTCAAAATTATTAACTCCAATGAGCATAAAAGTTTATATGGTTTGGATTTGGAAAATCTGGATAGAAATAATTACTCACCTGAATACTTACTTGCCAAATTATTGTGCATGCAGTGTATTATGACTTTTGAAAAAAAAAAAAAATGCATTTATATTTCAAAATGATCACTTAATTTGGATTTCCCCCCCA